TTTAACAGTATTCCTTACAGCATCAAAGACTCTGGTTTGGTGTACAGTCTCTGGTATGCTTATTAGGTAGTCTAAAATCCCACTGATTTTTTAAAACTCACTATTACTTTTTTGTAAAAGTGTATGCTGCCTATCTTTCTCAAATACTGCACTGAAATCTACTTACTGTCTGGATGGTTCACTGTTTAGGCACAGCTTTGAGAAGAATTGTGTAACAACCTAACAAGGACTGACTCTGAGATGCTGCTCACGTAACGTGGCATCTCCTGAGCAGCTCACCAAAGCATCCTGTCCCACCTGAAAGTAAGGAGCAGGGAAGTGCTTACAGATAATGCTCTCTTAGTATCTACCCCTTGTTTCCCCCACAATGCTAAGCATTTTTTTCAGCCATTTTGAAGTGGCTACTCTAATCAATTAATTGAGTTTGAAAGCTTGTCTAGTTGCACTGTGATGTCTGTAAGTGATTCTGTTCTTTCTAAAAATATGATTACTTTCTACTGTGCTATATATTCCTCTGTGAATTGCACTAAAAGACATGGTCTGTGTTCCTAAAGTGAGAAGTGGGGCTGCTTGATAACATTCCAAGGGAAATTGCTGATTTTGCTGAAAACTTTCAATTTGATATTGGGAAAAATCAAATGAAATATTTTGTTCTGGAGCAGATTAACAACAATAAAAAAATGTTTTGCTTGGATACCTTGAAATGTCTACAGAAACCATTCCTTAATCAAAACATTGGAGAGTGAAAAAATTTGGTTGAATCAAAAATGGAAAGAAGAGAAAAAATTCAGGTGATTCCAAAATGTTATTAGACCTGGAATGAAACATTTATTTTCCTTTTCTAGCCACGTAACCCTTTTCAACAAGCTTTTTAATTTAGGTCACGTTTGAAGTGAGAAATACAGTTTTAGATAAAGTTGGTTTCAAAAATGCACCAAACAAAGAATTGCAGTTTTTCCAAAACAATATGTTTTAGGAAAAATATTTTATGCAAAATGTTTGCACTATTTTGTCTAATCTGTTCAACAAATCTCCTCGTTTTTGTCTCCCGAAATTGTGGTTTTGGAGAAACTCCTTTTTTATTTGTTTATTATAGCAGTTCAGGATTTGTCAAATTTTGGTAGTTCAAAGTCTCATCAAAGGGAGGGAGAAAATAACATTCGGGTAAAACTAGACCATGTGATCCACATCACAGTAATAAAGCATGAAGAAAGAGGCATACAGAAGATACTGCACCACGTAAAGAAAAATCCTCTTTAGACAGAGTTCTTTTTCAAGAGCCCCTCAAGGTATTTGTATCATTGTATATGCCTGAACTAATTCCTCAGGATCAAGAAAATAGGGTGTTCTATGGCTGATCATAATTCATTTAATACCCAGGGGACATTGAGGTTCCCAGTTTTCTCCTTCTGTTTATTTCCTGCCAAACTTTCCCTTTTATTTCCCTCAGGTAGATTAGGGAACGAAAATGCTGCTCTCATCAAACGATGAGCAGTCCCACTGCCCGGGGCCAGATGTTCATAAAAGATTCCTTTGATTTTTTTTTTTTTTCCTCCAGTCTCTTCCTCCCCCAGCACAGCAGCTGAGGGTAAGTCCCTTTCCCCTTATGTTCATCTGTATGTCATCTTGAACTTAGTCTGAGATTTCAGTCAATTTGACTCTGAGGAAGGGGCTTCTGGGGCAAATATTTCCCTTTCCTGATTCCAGGGACTTTGCCTGCACACTAATTACACAGACTGGGGTTAGTTCAGAGTTGCAGAAAACTGCAGCATTTGTTATGTTTGATTTTGGTAACAGAACAATATAAAGGTAAAACTAAGTGCTATGTTCTGAAAAAAGTACTTTTTCCTTTGCGTGAACAATTTCAAAGTTTCCAACCCACATGCTTTTGCTTTTCTTTTGCACTAAATAGCATTAATCAGGTGATAGTATTAAATCCTCCTCTTAGTACAAATATCGTATTCTAACTAATGAGTAAATATTTAAACCTGTTACGAATACTCTCCCATATTTTTTTTCAGCGGTGGTCAGTTAGAATTCCACAGTGTGAGAATGTGAACAGAAATCGCACCAAGATGTTATACCTAAACCCTTAGGTGAATTAAAGTAGAAACATATCTAAGCTAATCTTGGCAGTAGAACATTTACAACTTCAAATATTTTCAGTAGCCACTATTCATCATAATTCTGTGCATCCTTTCTTGCATATATTCCAGTTTTCTACCCCTTCTGCCTCTTTTACTCTCAGCTGCTACCATAATAGCCCCTCAGGACATCATAATCTCTTTAACTGTGGTGCCATAATCTGCTGCTAGCATAACAGTGGAAGACAAAAAACTGGAGAATACTGCACATATAAAAACAATTCCCCCTTTTCCTCCTCATATTGGAGGCTTAAAGAAGATTTATTCAGAAGAATATGTTATTGTCTATAAAATATTAAAACCATTACACTAGAGCTAACTGAATCTGGCAGTAATTCTTTATTTTTCTTAATAAAGAATCTCCTCAGTTATATCACACTGTTGATGTAAAGTTGACAATTCTTGCCACTGGAAATAAGCCCCTGCCAGAGAGGAGGTTATCCCACCTAATTTCTTCCTGCAGTGGAAGGAATCTGCTTCACGTTGATCTAGAATTTCAGACAGTGTGCTATGGCTCTCTCAGAAACTAATGCCAGCACACCACATACTCCGCTAAAGATAGGCTTTGCGTATGCTGGAGAGAAGACAAACACACTGGCAGAAACACATTGCAGCACGTTGTGACAATATGTCCCTTTCCAATCCGACAGCTGGAAGCAGAAAGATTGACTGAAGATGAAAAGGGATCCCTCCAGTAAAGGTTCCAGCGTCCTTGGAACCAGATGGGCTGAAATAGAAAACAGAACTAATATAGGCCACAAAATTCACTGCCAGAAGAGGTTTTCTTTTTATTCATGGCAGTTTAAGGTTTTATTAGAAAGGAATTTGCCAAGTCATAGAAACTGAAGGTAGAAGTGACCTAGAACCTCCTTTGTTCTATCTCCACCCATGCAGGATTGGTCCATCTACGTTTGCGAATCTTTGGATAGTCTAGTTTTTAAAGGCTTATGACATAGGACATTTTATCTGCCATTCTTAGGTTATTTCACTACAAAGGATTTATGAACATTTTTCCTAAATATTCAGACTACATTTTCTTTCTTCTTCTCATTACTTTTAGCTTTTTCATCTTAGACCACCTTGGGCAGCTTTTCCATTGCCTGCTTTTTGGGTTTTCCTATTCCTCTGGATAGCTGTTACATTGCTCTATAGTTGTCAGATTTTTTCGTTACAAGAACTGTGGTTTAATATCACTTGCAGATGTCATTACTGTTCTCTGTACTCGCTCTTCTACTAATGAAGATGTGAAACAACACCGCACCTCTCATTGATCCTGCTAGGTACCTCCTGTCAACCTGCTCTGCTGCTGTTTATCAGTACTCTTTGCTTATGGTCCTTCAGCTAGCATACGTTTCCCATGATAGTGCTCTTATCTAAGTCCTTCAGAATTAATTTTTTAAGTAAGATTTTGTGAGACACTGTAGGAAAGGTTTTACCGATACTTCAATGCAGCTTCATTGCTTTTGCTGTTTTCCCTTCCTCCACACAAGGGATTCTATCCAAACACAAAACAACCAAGGAATAACAATGCATATTGAGCTATCTGTTTTCTTCCTTGAGGTGTAACTGAGGATCCTGCCCTATTAACACTTGCTGCTATAATGACAGGCACTCTCGACAATGCAGTAAACATCTGTTATTCAGAAAAGTTTCAGGGATTCCAGTAAGATGTGTTAGATGATTACGTTCCTATTAGGTTGAATAAGGGCTGCAGTCTCATCCTATCCAGTTAGAATAAATCGCAAGGGCCAGATTTCACCCCACATACACTTACGTTGAGTAAAATATTTCACATGGGTGGCAAAATTCTCGTTATGTCAGAGTAGTCTTGATTGCTGTTTAGATATAAACTCATTAAAACAGCAGGATTTTGCAAGAAACAGACCTCTAGTCAGTGTGAAGATGGCGGAAAAGGACCCATCCTAGCAACTCCATCATCACAAAGCGGGATTGTCCCTACCCTTTCCCTGGTAGACAGAGACTTGTCAGAATTCCCTCTCAGAGCCTGTCTCTTCTCAGAACAGGGAGTGGTGAAGGTCACTTCTGAGTGATAGGAGGTTCATTCTTTCTTTCTTGTAGGATACTGTCTAATTCTCTGTGGAATGATAAAGCTAGCATGGAGTTAACCTCCATCGTGTGAATCACCTGCACTGGTTTACTTTGTCAGGATTAATCCACTTGCTAATTATGTTTTAATGAAGTCAGGCTTTATGAATTAAGGAAACGGCTAGAAGTACAAAGTCCTTCTCTTACTCTTTTTCAATTCCTCTTCCACTCCCCTTCTTGCTAGTTTTATTGCTCTTTGACTACTTTGTCCTTCTCATAAGTCTATGTAAGCTGGCATTTATCTCTCTGCTGACTCTCTGTTTCTCTTGCAGCCTCAAGGATTCAGAAAAACTTTGTCTTAGTGGTATGGTGAAACCCAAGGTCTTTAGAGTGCTGCATGCAGATTTCTCTTCTAACTATCCTCAGCTTATCCCTCCCACAGTTCCAGGATGTTCTAGAGCTGCTTTTTTATCTTGTTTTTGTTGAGAGTGTCAGCTTTTCAGGATTGTGTTTGTACAGCCCCCACCACAATGAGGCTCCAGTTCTTTATTGTATTCCCACAATACAAATTTTCTCCTTGGTATTTATTTGGACTCGTTAGTACATGTGACTGATGGGTCACCAAAATATTTATTCTAGTTTCAATCAAATTCCTATACTAGCGTAGAGCAAGAGCTACCGGTCTCCACTGCTAGGTCTTAGCTCATGTCCTTGTTTTAACTGCTGTAAGTCAGCACCTAGATGGGAAGGGCCTTGACTGGCACGTGACATCACAGCTTCTCTTATTCTCTGCTCTGTGTTTTCTTTAAGGAGTCATCCTGCTGCTTCTGGATAAGTTACGGAAGATGAAATGGGAACAGATGTGGAGACTTACAGCAGAGCGGGAGTTAATGAGCATGCTGTCCACTTCACTGGCTGACCAGGTGAGTAGGACATTGTAGATTAGTGGCATAATAACTACTCCATGGATTGAGGAAGGTAGGAAAAGGAAAGAGGATGAGGGATGGGCGAACGGAAGAAATATTGTACCAGTAGTCACTATTTGTTTCACCACTGTTCTGGGAAAAACGTGGAAAAGAGGAATGGAAATTTACTCATGAGATTTCTCTTACTGCGCTGACATTTCTATCTCCTCTGTAGATCATTCATAAGATAGACAACTGGGGTTTTAAAGCTTTAGTTTTCTTTCTTTTTTTCTTTAACATAAAACCCCCCGGACTTTAGAAGTCCAAATACACTAGTCTTTCCTAGTGTTTTGTCTAGGTTCATTTCAATGCTAAGAGTCTCTAGATATTTCTTTGCTCTCTCTGGCAATGGGTCCACGCAGTCTATAATGTACTCGTTACCACAATACCCCTCTGAAGAAAAAGTGCTGCTTTCTCTCTGCCACAGATGGGCAACAGTCTGAGCGAAGAAATAACGTGCCTATAGAGAGAAGTACATTTTTACTCTCTTTGTACTTCCTACCAGCTATCCATTTTTAATCCAGAAGCCCTGTTAATATAGTACTAGGCCTGAACCAAAGAATCTTGCTCAGCAGCTTGAGTGTATTAGCTCAAGTACAGCATCATGTTTAGATACTTCCACGACTTCTAAGGTAATGTCTGGTTCGTGATCAGCTATTGTTAAGCAAGAATGGAGCTTACTGTACACATCTGTGTACAGTATCCTTGCAGTCTGATCCAAAAACTACTGAAGTTCATGAAAAGGCCTCTTGCAACCTGAATGTGTTTTAGATCCAATCCTTAGTGATTGCATACCTGCTTGGGGCAGAAGTCTGCAGATTGGACTAAGGTTGCTTATCTCATCCTGCTGTCTTGACCACAAAAGCATTCTTATATCTTATTTCTCTGGGCATCTGCATAAAGGCAGAACATGTTTCTTATACCCTTATGGTATAAGCTGTTCTGCAGATCTGTCTTTCATGCCCTTTCCATGAAGTGCCTGGAATACTTGTTGCAACAATAAAATTCTAGCTAAAATCCCACACAGGAATTCGTATTGAGGCAGTGCAACTGCCAGGATTGCTTTCATCCCCTTTACTGAGAAGTAATGCAGTACTTACCTACAGCAGGTATTTTGTGATCACAGAATCACAGAATCGTTTAGGTTGGAAGGGACCTCTGGAGATCATCTAGTCCAACCTCCCTGCTCAAGCAGGGTCACCTAGGGCACATTGCCCAGGATCACATCCAGACGGGTTTTGAATATCTCCAGCGAAGGAGACTCCACTACCTCTCTGGGCAACCTGTTCCAGTGCTCTGTCACCCTCACAGTGAAGAAGTTTTTCCTCAGGTTCAGATGGAACTTCCTGTGGTTCAGTTTGTGCCCGTTGCCTCTTGTCCTGTTGCTGGGCACCACGGAGAAGAGGCTGGGCTCATCCTCTTGACACTCCCCCTTCAGATACTTGTACACATTTATGAGATCGCCATTTATGAGATCTACTGCATATTTTTCTCATTGATAGCTAGAAGAGGAACCATGTTTCTTGCCAGTAGTACAAGATACACATTTTGAAAACTTTGCTGGATTTTATTAGCTCTGTGTGTCAAGAGAGCCTGTTCCTCTGGTTCAGATCCACACATCATCCCTTAGAGTAGTAACACCTTTCATGGAAACAGGATTTTGAAGCAAGGTTTGCAGAGTTCAGTTTGCTCTTTTCCCTGTGAGAGGGTGAAGGCAGTCAGTTGAGAGGGTCTGAGATCACCTCTTCGTGAAACCAATGTATCCAATCGTTTTTGTTTTTGTCCACTAGGATATCTTCAATGCAGTCATCAAACAAAATCCCTTCCTTGTCTATCAGCTTCCATGTTTCTGGAATGTGCAGCTGTCTGATCACACCCGTTCTGAGCAGTGCTACAGAGATGTGTCCGATCTGAAGGTATGTTTTACAGAAGGTTGGATGGGTGGTATCCTTTGGGACAGAAAATGCAAGATTCTACTATGACAGAAAGATAAAGTGCCTTAAACAGGAGGAAAACTATCACATATAGTTTGTAAGGACAGCAAAGCAGGGGACGCAAATGCAGCTTTGTGTTTGTGCGTTTTGGCAGACAGAAAAGTGAAAGATGAATCCTGCTATTTAGAATTAGGCAAGGTGTTAGACAAGTGCTTCACCTTCTCATGTTTCATGCCCACCTCTTCTATGCTACCGCACCTTACTCTTTAGCTACAGTTCCTATTGCTGTCTCAGTTCTTAGCTCTTTCATGCCAAAGAATACAAAACCTTTTTTTGTACTAGACATGTTTGAAATTCTCTGGTCAGCATTGTTTAATGGATTGCATTTCACAGAGAGGGCTGGGCAGCTAGAAATACATTAAGCCAAAATTTAAAGAGCTTGCACATTTCTTACTTAGCCTTTGCATGCACTTCACCCAGCTATACTACCACATTCATTTTTACTGGGACTTGCTCTAGAAAAAAAGGCTGAATAGAAACCTATTAATTTAATAAAATGAAGCTATGGTATCAGTTCAGTAGCATAATTTTCACTATTGTTAAATAGAATATATTTGAACAGATATAGGTGCATTAACATTGATTGTGCTGTGGTCATTTTGAAAGGCCAGACTCAATTATGGCATGCAGAGAGTTCAGGATTGGAAGCTCATTAAACTTCTTCCAGGTGTAGAATAAGACTGCTCGGCTAGACAGAAGTAGACTGCATCAGGAGAGGCTTTCGGCATCAGAATACAATAAACATTGCATCATTTTTGGTGATTCATTTCAAAAGAATGAATATATTTTGTTTATATTTTGAAACTATTCTGGCAAATGAGTTTAATAAAATCGCAGAATCATAGAATAATATAGGTTGCCAGGGATCTTGGGAGACCATCTATTCCAACCCCTACTCAAAGCAGGACCAACTTAGATCAGGTTGCTCAGGGCGTTGTATAACTGAGTTTTGAATATCTCCAAAGACTGAGATTACACAACCTTCCTGGGCTCCTGTTACAGTGTTTGACCATATTCAGAGTGAAAAATACTTCCTTATATCTAATCAAAATTTCCCTTGTAATACTTACAGAGTAATGGCAGAAGTGTTCATCATGAGTAAAGAAAAATAATTACCCTGGACATATCAATTCCAAAAGCTTCACTTTCTAAGAGACAGAAGGTATGCCATAGGTTAACTGACCTGTCAAAACTGGCCAGTATTGAATTTCAGAAAGTATTTGCAACCAACTGTTCAGGCATGGTCCACAGAAGACAGCTTTTTAAGTTAAATAAGTATATCAATAAACATTTTGCAATAGATATTTGTAGGGCAGGATCCATGTAGGGGATGTACAGCATCATGGTCATGCCCTATAATAAGGTGCTGGTAGAGATTTTGGTTCCTCTGTGCTCATGTTAAGAATCATGTATGAGAGCAATTGCCAGGCCTGAAACAAAAGAAGGGAGATTTTAGTAGCAGGGAAAATGTTACCTGAAAGATGAATTTTAGAAAAATACACCTCTTACCTGGGAGATATCACAGCATATTTCTATGAATTAGAAGCTTACATGAATTTGTGCAATCAGCTGAGACATTGAGGATCTAAGGCTTGGTTCAGTTACCTAAAAACAGTTCAAGTCACTTAGGCTATCTAATATATCTGTATGGGGCTGGCAGATACAACACAGACCTGCGGGAGCCTTTCTGCATGGCGGCTTATAGGCAAGCAGGTTACCCTAAGGTGCCTTAAATGTTGCTACACATCTCTGTTTAGGCAACTGAATTGTGCTCCCAGTCAGTACTACCAGTGGTACTGGAGAGAGTGGTTCAACTCATCCATCCCAGAGTAGCCATCTGATGGCTACCTGGCCAGATCACTCTCTAGACTCCAATGACTATATTGACTAATCCCCATCAGCCGTGGGACCTGTAGCAAATACGTAAGCCTACATGTAAGCATCTAATGTGAGTAGCTTAAATACAAATGGAATCCTATCTTTTTTGTCAATTAAGAATTTTATGTTTACAAGTATGATTTAGGCTTGGTTGCTTATTATGTTGTACTGTCTCACACTGTCAATTTCATTACAGTACAGGCAGTGAAGTGTAAGATGCAGAATATCCTCCATGGGCTCTCTGGAATGAGCTACCTAACTCAGCAAGAGGTGCAGACACGCAAGTGGTTTCTTCAGCTGCACTGGACTTAATCACACCGCTAATATTAGGAATTTCCCCTAAGTACTCTGTTGAATGGGGGCCATAATTCTTTATTTAGAAAGAGAGGCAGAGCTTTATCTAGTGCAAATAAGTCCCACTGACTTCAGTGAAGCTCTGCCCATATTTGTCAGTTAAAGAACTGACCCTCAGGCAGCACTGTTTAATTGGGTTATGCCTTTTTTTTTGTTTTATGAGAAATTTTAAATTTGTGAAAATCCATTAGGAAATTTGGCAAATTTTTAATTCTAAAAAGCAACTGGGCTGTTCCAGTGTGTGGTCCTTACAAATAAGGAGCAGATGTAGTTAGCCCAAGTTTGAAAATACGCTTCTTAAAATCACCCAAAGTAGTCAGTTTCCATGGCATTTAATGTAAATGGAAAGACACAATGTGTTTGGCGTATCCTGTATTTCATGGTAAGACTGGAATAAAAAATTAGAAAGGAGAACCCTCCAGGGAAAGAGAGGGGGGAAAAGACGAATTGTGAAGTTTGTACTGCAGGATTAAGAAGGATGGCATAGGAAAGAAGGAAACGCTGGAAAAGCTAAACGTGGCCCAGCTGAGTACTCCTGAAGTCAAATCAGACTGTTTCTCAAGTCAGGTTGAAAAAGCACTGATTTAATTCCATCTGGTCTCAAAATCCATGAGATTTGAGGATTTGTCATCTTTTATACACAACCTTATGTCAAATAAACGTAGAGAAACCCCATAGCTGGCTGTTGTTCAAGTATGCATATACTGCTTTGCTGCTTTGTTCGCACTCATGCAGGCATAAGATGGCCAGCATGCTTTTTAGAGGCCTGTGAGACTCTCGAATATTTCATGTCACCTGAAGAGGTTTCTGGTCATTCCTTTTGGTCTACATACTCCTTGTTAAGTTGCATCTGTATCAGCTTTAATGACATTTGTATTGTTGTATGTTACGTTTGACCACTGCTGAACTTTACTCTGCTCACTTGTTCCGGTTGAGCATCACATATAATTGTTCTGCTTGAATACAGGAAGACTTGCGTATGGGGTTCTTCTAGAGTAGACATAACAGAGACAGAACTATTTATGATCAAGTATTACATAGTTTGTGTCTACTAAGTTTAAATCTCTCTAAAGCAACATCAGAATAAAAGTACTTTAATAACTTTGCTTGTCTAAATGCTTACTTAGAACCTGTCTTGTATGCTATAGTGCTAGAAGCCATAGTGTAAACAACTAGACTCAAGTTTGAGTGGTTTTGTTCTGCTGTATGTGGCATATGGAGCCACTACTCTTATAAACAATTACACAGACAGAAATCTTCCTTAACCCACCCTGAGGCCATCTGTTCTAACGGTGCTTTGCATCAGTCAAGAATCTCTTGGAGTGTGCAGTTTTAATAGAAAGCAAGTGGAAACAGATGCTCTTTAATTCTTCTTGCCAGGTGAGCCCCTTGCACTCTGTAAAGGCCAGAGGTGTTTATTTCTACGTGGCATTTGTTACACCTTGGAAAAACGCTCAGGAGTTACTGCTGAAGACTGGCCAAAAGATGTGGAACCGCTAATAGTTATTCTCTGTAGGCAGCCACTGTCTATCGTAACTGATTTATCTCAGCTACTTACACGGTCCTCAGCAGACCAAAATGTGAGTGGACAAGTTTGCTGCAAGGTCATGCCTTACTGACCATTGAAGCCTGTGGGGATCTATCTGGAACTAAAGTTCATCTAAACATTGCCTTTGCTGGATTGGGCCCTGTGTTTGCTTTCCTTTCTGGTTAATAGTTTGTTCCTGTCTGTGAGGAAATCTCAATTACTGTGCTTTGACACAAACCAAATGACAGGAAAATCCTTTGAAAAAAAGTAATGAATTGTGATGCCTCTGACAATGAATCATGACCTCATTGTATGAGTCAGTCTTGAAGAGAAGTCTGGTTGTCAAGGATACAGATGCTATTTACACACAGAGAATCTGGTAATATGCAATCACAAAAAAAAGGATCCTGGGCTTTTCAATGGGAATATATCAAATCATTAGAATGTACCCCTCAAAATAAGTAAATGCTTTAAATCCTGTTGATTGCTTTTTAAATTGGCTTTGAATACAGCTTATGTTAAATTAACAGGTAGATAGATAATTAGCCTCATGAAACAATTTTGGAAAGGGGAATTTGTCATTATGCTCTCCTGGGGAAAATCGTCCACATTAGAACAACTTTGTGAGATGGCCTCCTAAAGTCTATACTGCCTGTTGTCCATAACCCAAATATATCATTTCAGATCTTCCTCAAACATGACCAAATATGACCTATTGCACCTCTTTCTATTCCAGTCCCTGAGCCAACCCCTTGCTGTCCAAGCACCTCAGCACTGATCTGCAGCAGCTCTGGCATTCTGCAGCCTTGCACCTTTTAATGCCAACCAAGGAAGAACTACACTGAGAGCAGTAAGGGCCCAAGAGGGGTAAACATACCCCTCTCTTGAATGACCTCTGCAGTCAATAAGCTGCTTCCGCTCTGCCAAGAAGGGAGCACAGTGTTATAATAGAGATGTTTTTAAGGGGAAGCTGGTTTGTTTAGATAGATAATCTAAAATCAACTTACGGAGGCCTCATGTTAAGCATTGGTACAGGAGTTGAAAGGAGAGCTGCAAAGTCTTCCGAGGACAAGTTGAGAACTTTAGTAGAACAATGTAAGATTTGGGGTAGTGATCTTCAGCCATCATAGATAAAAGCTAGGGGGCAGAGTACTCCCTGGAATCGTGGTCACCAAATCAGGTAGGGCAAGGGTTTGAATCCTTCATCCCAAAGCAGTGTCTGGACCTCTGGGTTGCTGGCTGCTCCAACACGAGTCTCCTCCACTCGTTTACATCAGCAATACCGCTCTGGAGCTACAAAGACTCCCTGATAAAATTTTTGTGAAGTATTTGACCCTTTAGGAGAATTGTTTTTTACATGAACAATTTGTTTCTAATAAAACGTAATTTAAAAGGAAAATTTCCAAGCATCTCTGGTCAAGGTACCAGAAGTTTTATGCGCAATGATTGTTTGCGCAGTGCCTTGGGGCATGTTATTTAAAACAAACTTTTCAACAATAACATGCCTAAAACAAGCCTATTGAGATGGTATTAAAGTGACATAAATAAGTGGTTTTATACGCAGAATTGTTGAGCATTTCACTCCTATAGATTTCAGTGGGAACTATGTGGTTGCCTAAATAAGGACACAGGAGCCTAACTTTTAGGCAGGAAAAGCTCCCCATTTATAAAATATCACTTTTATTTATTTACCTAAATTGCAAAGTGCTCATAGGCTTAATTAAGAGCTTTGCAAAAATAAAGCTCTTTAGGTTCAATTTATTTTTACTTTTTATGCCTTCAGCTTGGAAAGTAGGTAGAGAGCCACAGGCATGGGCAGAAAAGGATATTCTGGTTTCTCTGATTTCTTAAGGGCAAGAAGCAGGGTGCGAAATTCACAAGATCTGTCTTTGGGCAAAAATGAAAAGGATTGTAGCGAAGGAAACATTTGTCTAAACATTTCTTGTAGCAGGTGGAGAAAAAATGAGTAAGAAGTGTACCCATAGAAATAATATGTTGAAGCTTATAGTTTAGTGATTTGAACATCAGACTTGAAATATTTAATCTCCTTGGGGAGGACAATTCAGCTGGAAACCTACAAGGGTTTGCTGGGATTTTTGTTTTCAGTACTGTTCTGTGCAGATGACCAGTCTTAGAGCTCTCTCTTATGTTCCACCAGCCTCCTCTGTAGCCTTCCATCTCAGATCCCGTTGCCAGTTTATAAGGCTCCAAATTTCATCATTTGAGTGATTTAGGTCAAAACCTTGTGAATAAATGGGAACTATCAGTTCAGTATAGTCTGTTTCACTAGATCACAAAATATATGGAAGTATTCCAGGAGGCTGACTGAGCCTAATCAGTGAGTGGTAACGGCTGCTGATTAACTAGGGTAGTATTAACAGAAATGTAGATAGTGCCAAGTTGCTTAATGACAACTAACCAAGTGTTAAATAGCTGTGGAATTTTATGTTCTGATCTTTCAGTACTTAAATTGCTAAATGAAGATTTAGGAGGATAATTTCCTTAGTTCTCAGGAGGCCTCGATCAAGAGTGGGACGGGTCTATGGGACAGGCTAAAGGATGACACCGTTGCTGAGATGTCTATCCAGACAATGGCAGTGCAATTTGTATGTTCTAATTGCAATTTCCTCTGCAAGCCAAGAGAGCTTTGGAATAGCTCGGGAATTAAGAGGAAAATAATAAGAAATAAATACAGTATTACAGTGCCGTTCAGTCTTGGAAAGCGGATGTTATAGAAACAAGATCTTAGATTCTAAGTTCACTTTCTCTTTGCAATTTTGAGATAACAGTTGCTCGGACTACGAATAAAGTAAACGTTGAGTTTTGGGGGTTATTTTGGTGTGGAGGATTTTTGCTAATTTCTAGATAGTCTCTCTCCAGCTGATTTCCTTCCCCTGCCAAAGCAATTCAGTGTTGCCCACAGTGAAGGTTCTAACAGTCACGTAATGGCCTTAGCTTTAGCTGTGCAGCCCATTGTCTTCATGTACCTCACTGATGCCCGTGACAGCCCACGCAAGGATTTCTTGGCCTTCTGGTGTTGCTAATGGTGCAGTAGACCAAATCAGAGAGCTGCAGTCAAAACTCAAGGTGAATTTGTGAGCTGATAGGAGCGAAGAAAAAAAAATCTGTGGATGTAGTGTTATATAGTGGTGGTGAAGAGTCTTTCTGCCTTTTGAAACCTGCTGTTCTTTTTTTGTGCTTTCATGTATCACATAATATTTCTCTAATCATGCTACATTTGAAAAGCAGCCTGCTCTTTCACTAGACCTGCTTTGTATTTTTTTTTACCTCAGGTCATCCAGTTGTTTTTTTAATTCCTTTATGTTCTTTGGCTGCACTGACATGTGCTGTCTTTCTTGATTAAAAAAATCAGCTGTTCTGGACAGTCATCAGCTCCATTCAGCTTTCTTCAGTTGACTCCAGGCTCCCCTGACATCTGTACACATACAGCATCCTGACACGTGTTTCAAATCTGATCAGATCTCAACCACCATCTAGGCCCTTACTAGCTTTTGCACACACAACAGGTTTTGAAGCACAGCAGCAAAGAGACTTTACACTGACAACTGCAGTTGTCTGGCTTTGACATCATCACCCACACAACTGAGTACAGGCATCAACACCAGTAGTCAGCTGTGGCGTGACATAGCGTATCTTGATGGGAAATCCTGGCAGAGTAGGGAGATGCTGTCCTATAACAGTTTTGGAGTTTATAATCGTTAAATATTACTGTGCTGAAGGTCCCTGGTGTGAGCAGTCATGGTGCTCCCCAGGGTGATAGGATGCTCGTGAAGGCATCTGAAAGGAAATAATAGCATGTATAGGAGGAGTAGAGAAAATACACAGAAAATTTTCTTAGCAGGCATTTTTTATTCCCATTTTCCAGCTTCTCTGTGTTCTTTGATGTCCTCTTAAAGATGTGCTAGTTACCAGCAGATCAACAATTCCCATTCTGTGCCTGTTTGGAAAAAATGCATACTAGTACCCCTTGAAACTATTCAGCAGCCCGTTATGTTCCCTTAGCGCTGTGCTACTGTTATGTTTGTCTGTTTCACTGAGGTAGGATTCAATCATTGAGGGGTTTTTTTTCATGCACTTCCTGCCTTTTGTCACAATTAAATGCCATGGATGAAACACGTCAAGTTCTTTTCGAAGAAGAGCAATTTAAAGATCCAAGTTTCTGTGGAGGAAATACGTCAACTTGAGTTTGTGTCCTATGCTAGCAGTGTTGGCTAAAGCTCCTTTTGTTTCTGTGGTGTTCTCTATTTTCAACACCTGTTGAAGCAACGTGTTATTTCACGGTCAAGCTACACATTTGAATATATGGACAAATGTAAAATTAGCAAAGAACATAGCATCACTTAGGCAGAACGTCTATACCAAATGTATTTGCTCCAAGTAATCTCCCAGATTCATATAGTGTGTAGATTCTTCATGATCTTGGTTTAAAGTGCTCCTTTGATTGGAAAAAGTCATTTACCTACTTCCAAAATGATCTTATTCCCTACAGTTGCTTTCCTGTAACTGCATATATGGTTTTCTGAAATCCTGATAGCTTCAGTAGTGAAATCCCAGGGAGGGATAAAGACTTCCATATCAGGAAAGATTTTCTTTGATGTTGGGTATGCAGAAGAGCATGCCTTGGGTGGTATAAATACTCAGCAAAGATACTATATTGTCTGCTGAGGTTAGTACAGAAAGAATTCAGGTCATGTCCTGTTCCTCCTTCAGTCCACTCATTCAGCAACAGATAGAGTGATCCAAAAGGATGTCCTGTTCTTGTGGTGTTGCGTTGCAGACACCAAAAGAACTATGTTTGTCTGCTCTAGGTTTCTTCTTCTGCGTGCACTCTGCTTCAGTTCTGTGTATTCCCTTCCACAAATGCAGCATTCAGAACAAAGCTTACAATCCTAATGTCTCAGCAGCTGGTGTTGCAGCTTGGTGGCAAAGAGGTCTGTGGCTGTGTGTGACTGACATGTTGCCTTCACACAATTAACTTAATGGATTCAGAGAACCTCCAGAACTCCTAGCTTGGAAGTATTCCCAATAGAGGTTTTTCTTTTTTTTTCCCATCTCTTTAGAAGTTACAAGAATAAAACTGGATATAAAGCATTTGGGCTTTTTCTTATGCCTAAAATATTGCCGCTATAAAATAAAATAATTCCTGCAAGCCACTTTTGTCTCTCTCTTAGTTTTTCCTTAGGGCTCCATTCTCATTCACATTGTCAGAAAGCACAGTGCAAAGTCGCCTTGATGTAAATGAGAATCAGGCCCTTTATGTCGGCATTAGAGTTAAATCTAGGCCAGTGTGAGAGTTATCTCCCATTAGTAGGGGCTAAATACCTGCTAGAAATAGGAAGTCAAAGGGTGAAGCATTGTACTGCATTGCTATGTTGTATAACACAACGGAGATCAGACTGTTTAAATGAAGCAATGGCGAAAAGGAAGTTGGATTAAATTGAACCCTTTCTGAAGTGTGTAAATGGATACAGAAATTCATGTGAGGCTTTTCCTTCTCTATGCCAAACAAGAGAAGAGTTTGCCTGGCCTGAAACAGTGAATCAATTTCATTAGCTGAAACAGTCATGTGGAAATCTGAGATTAATGTTTAATATCACCATTCCCTCATGCTGCCACTCCCTTCAACAGAGTCCATAACCTGTCAGGCCATGATTAAAGTTGTGGCAATATTTATGAGGGGCTGCATCATGAACTAGAAAAATATACCAAGACAAATGTGCAAGTTATTCTGTGAAGGAGTTTAAAAGCACATCATCTATACAGTGTGCAGTTATGTGTGAAAGATGTGGTAAAGTCTTCCTTGTAAAAAGAAAGAAGTATCTGTCTGTGTAGTTCTAGGATTGGGTTTTTTTGTTTGTTTTTAAGAGGGCAGGAAACTGAACATACGTAAAACCAGCAGATAAAGCAAATCTGTATTCTAACAGCAGGATCTATTTTCTCTTTTTTTCCTTCTGAGGTGATTCACTGGAACTCACCAAAGAAGCTGCGAGTGAAAAACAAGCACGTGGAGTTTTTCCGCAACCTCTACCTGACGTTTCTAGAATATGATGGGAACTTGCTGAGACGGGAACTCTTTGGCTGCCCTAGTGAGACAGATGTTAACAGTGAAAATGTAAGTGGGATGCCTAGGGCTTGAAGATTTAAAGGGTGTTTCATACCAGACACAGGCAACGTGAAAACACAGCAAGATGGTTATGTGGGCAGTGCAGTGCAGAGGGACTCGGGGGAATCGAGGTCAGTACACGGATTCCAAGAGTGACGCTGTGCAAATTGTTTAAACTCTCTGTACCTCAGTTCCTTGCTTGTAAAACTGTTGTATTAATTGCCTTTCTCCTGTTTTTTTGGCTATCTTGACTTTTAAAAATCCCCTACAAAGGTAAGATCACAAACTGAAAATGAGGATTTGGGCTTGTCATTCCATTAGGTAATTTTGCAAATCTCTCCCTTAGATCTGAAACTTTTCAGGGGAAGGGAATGTTTATTGCTGTGTTGTCTGTTCAGCATAAGATGGCATTGATTTTGGCTAGTAGATACTAATTTGCAAATGGAGAAGAAGAAATGAAAATATCAAGACGGTTGGGGAAGGTCTGTGAGTTTTTTCCGTACTGCAACCTATAAAATGAATTAATACTTCAAGGTATACATAGGCTATGAAACTATACAGTTTTTTTCTACCCTGCCGCAACAGAGCATAGCAGCAGTTATGTGTCTCAGCATAAAATTTGTAATCAGAACCTATCAGATGAGAAAAATCCTTTGAAAGCAGTTGAAATCAAGGATGTTTACATTCAGATGTGCATATGTGTGTGTGCCAGAGTACATATAGTTCCAATTTTAAAAAAACTGTTAGCGGAAACATTTATACTCAGTTCTATACAAATTCCTTGTGCCTAATGTGGTTTCTGGAGACATCAATTTTGGCTACACAGTATGAAAAGAAAGAAAAAGAAACCTGTAACATTTTATGTTATTTTAAAGGAAAAAATACACAATTCTCTAAAATATATGAAATTCTCTATATAAAAGTCAGTAAAGCATGTACACATTAGTAGTTGAGGTGGTCGTCAGTAGCACCACTGAGGCTTGTATTGTTTCCATTTTGTTTGTGGATAATATGACCATCGAACTTCCATCCATAATTTTTAACTTTAGCTCTTAGAGGTTACATATATCTTAGTCCAAGGCACGGCTTCCCAGATATTCATTCTGCCATCACACCATCTTCTAAAAGGGGGTGGGGAAAACTGTGAGAAACTATCTGGAGATAAACAGTGACTGTCAGGAAGGAAAGAGATAGGGAGAGAGCACAGCAAGGGCAAAAGCTCACGGAGAATGAAAATCCTCTGCAAAAGTGAGAGGCTTTTAGATAATCAAATTAATTGAATGTGATAAAAGACCACTGAAAGGCTGATGATCAGATACGTAAGGTGAAGAAAAAGGCAACAAAACAAATACACCTTTAAGAGTGCTGAGTAAAGTTATACTGAATTCACAAGATGTTAGGTGAGCTAGAAGAGCATGAATGCAGTCACGGACTTGTTACTATATTTTCCAGAGCTCTATAAATCCTTAATAAACAGATTTATTCCAGATGACGCACTGTTGGGGAGCAGTGCATAGTGAGTGCAAGTTCTTGATGCTGAAAGCAGCTGTCCTGAAAGTTTGAAATGGCTCATTTTACGGAACTTGTGTCTGACTGACAGACACTGGAAATGACTAGCTATTCAAGCCTGTTTCTTATTCAAGACAAGTAGAATGCAATATGGTATATGGTATGGCTTGTGTCTGAAAAGGAAATGTTGCTCATTCTTCCATTTATAAATTTAAAAAAAAAGGATACTTGAAAAATATGAGCTAGACGTACAAAAATATGTCTTACCGTGCCAGGAAACACCAAAAATTAAGAGTCTTCTATCAGCACGATTAGATACAGAAAAAATATAACATTAGGTAGCCTTAGAGTAGTCACTTAGGAGTGGACATAGTTTTTTGCTAGTTACCCTTGATTATGCTCTACTTTAAACTTGATTGTGTCCCTTTATTGTGGAATCCCAAAAGTAGGTTTTAGCTGGGACGTTATGCGACCCTGAGAATAGGATTATAATAAAAACCATTCTCCAATCTTTTATGTGATAGTTCCTCATTCCCCCTCCCTTTGCTGCAGCTTACACTGTCAAAGGTATCCTATTAAAATACAGTACGTTCCCATAATCTATCACAGCATCGTCTTTAGAAACAGAGCATCTTTTAAGGTGATCAGGGAGCCACTGTTTATCATTCCTTCCAGCACAAGAACTAGGGGGCATGAAGCAGAAATAGCAAGTAGCAGGTTCAAAGCAAAGGAAGACATTTCACCCAAGATGTAATGAAGCCTTGAACGGGAGGTAATGTTGCTAAAAATACACGTGTTCAAAAGTGGCTCTTCATGGAAAGAAAATCCGTCAGGAGCTGTAAACCTTTGGTGCAGGAAGTCCTTGAACCACAAGTTCAGGACTAGGAGAAAGTTCTGAGAAAGTACGCTTCCCCTCCTTTTATACTCTTCTCTCAGCAGCCAGTGTTGGTCACAGATGGAGCTAGGATACTGGGCTAGATCGACCTTTAGTCTGGGAAGATGCAGCCATACATTTCCATTAGGATTCCTAAATGTATCTTTTACATAACAGGCTATGATTTTTGCAAACTCAAATATGTATAAGGTAGGAAATGCTATTTGATTTATTTTACAGTTACTATTTTTTTCTTTTTAGTCTAAATTGAGAATAGGAGCTCCAAAACACAATTGGGCTTTATTGCACTAGACATTGTGTAGGGGTAAAAGGTCCTGCTTCAGCTCTCTGTGCTTCTCTGCACTATAGACCAGTTGACAAAATGCTGGAATAGCTCTGCTGTTTTTATAATTAGAGAGAATTACTTAAGCACTAAATCCACTGAGCCCTGTTGTGAAGAACAGTGGCTTGTTACAAGTCTGTCACTCATCATCTGGTGGTGTCAAAATCTACCCTTAAGGTCTTGTTCCAATATGCCATCCACTGCAGCTCTGCAGTTTAATATTTGTAATGGTATTTTATTTAGAAGGCAACCCGTAATTAAGGAATCTCATTTGTAATGCAAATATCTGTAAAATATATAATGAAGTATGGCATTTTGTACCATTGGGCTGATTCTGTTACTCTAAGGCCCCTTTACACTTCACCGACAGTACCAAGATGGCCTTAAAATGAATGTAAATTATGTATCTTCCCTTTTTAAGGACTCTTTACAGTGCTAGAGAGATGTAAAGGGGCATTAGTTTAAATGGTAATCAGCCCTTACAGTCACCTGTCTCAGTCTGTGTGTGTGTGTGTGTGTGTGTGTGGGTGGGTGTGTATGTGTGTGTGTGGGTCTGTCTTGTGTGTCTGTGTGTCTGAGGGTATGTATATATATGCAGGCAGATGGATTATTAGTTTTTTCTTTTTTGTTTTAATATTTGCTGAAAAGTTAAAATACCACAGACTGAGTTTGAAGAGGTCTAAAGGCAGTCTTTGGATCCTATACTGCATAGGGCTGATATTAGAATCTAAAAAGTTACATGTAGGAATGAACAGATAGGGCTTTCAAAATAAAATATTGGAAGCAAAGACTTGCAGGCTGAAAAATTTGGAGGTGCTGGGGAAATTTCTCTCTGTTTTTGTAAAAATGCATGTATGTATGTCTATGAAAGATACCATGCTGCAGGTACAGCCTGTAGGCAAAGGCCTGCCCACAGGCTTCTTGCCGTAAAGCCATACTGTCAGTCCCCATTCATTCCATGTGCACTAAAACCAGATTACAGAGCAGGTTCTTCTCTGCATATTCATCGTACAATCACCTCTTTGCCCTTTGTGCAGATTGTGGATGTAAAATTCAGAATGTGAGCCAAATCCTCCTGTAAACACTGCCATTGACTCAAGTCGCCTTTGAGGCAGGTCCTTTGTCACTCCATCCTACTTGTTTCGTGCTATTTCCCACTTCGCTCTCCTTTTTCATTTTGATGCTAGGAAGGACGTTTTAGGGGAACCCATGAAGACAAACCTCACAGTAATCTCTGATTTATGAGTTTCCTATTGGCTTTTAATGTTTATATCCAGCATTTCATTCCAAAGACCCTATTGTAAACCTGAAATACTACAGCAGGATCTTTTGTCTGCCAGTCTAACTCTGCAGTTAAGGCTCTGAGATAGGTACCATAGGCCTAATTTTTGCACACAGGCACACACTCAACCTTTTATTCTCATAAAACCTCTTTTCTGCAGATAACTACACAAGGTGCTTCTGCCAAAGCTTTAAATCTGGAGATTGAATAGGTCATCCCCTCTTAGTGAAGTTCAGGTCCTGATCCAAAGCCCAGAGCAAGATCAGTGCAAAGTCTATCACTGATTTCACTCAGTTTTTCAAAAGGATAGTAGCTTCCCTTAGAGAAGAATTATTAGAAAACACAAGAAAAAATTCTCTCCAGATTTCCCTCATTTTCTATATTCCTATTAAAATAAACAACACAAAAAGTGTAAAAAAATTCTAATTAGTTCTCCCTGAAGGCTCTTGCTTAGGACTATACCTCCTAAATGTCTTTTTACTTATTATTTAATATATTTTTTATGTTACAATTATTTAATATATTTACTCTCTTTGTGAAAAGCCAGAGATTCTTCCTATCAGTAAATGGCTTTGCATGCCTTCTTATAATACCCCCCCAGAAGAGCAGGAGATTGATACTAGCGATGTTCCAAATAGCATAAATTTTACTAATGAATTTAAGAATTTCTGAATGTCTAAAAATAGCTTGCAAAGGGAACTTCTAAGTTAGCAACCAGGCACTGAACTTACCATCTAACTGATGCAGTAGGTACCCTTTGCTTCTGCAGAATTTAAGTATAAGAATATGGATCTGCACCGTTTGTAGGACTGGAGTTTAAAGTTACTGTTTTGTCATGACATAGTCTTTCTCTATTAATAACAGATGGTATATGGCAGTTTTGAGGGGAAATCTCGACTTCCCCAGCTGTGTTGTTTCTAGTATTATAACTGGTATTGCTGTTGTTATTAAATGCTGAGCTGGTAGCACATCCTGTTAGTTGCCTGAAACTTCCATTTATA